TTTGTTCTCCTTCAGCCCTTTCATTTGCAGTATTTTGTAGTCTTCTTGAATTACGGCTTTGTTGGGAAAGATTCGATCGTATTGGTTGCGGCATTATTAATTAAATTTCACTTCACTTCAATTCACTAAAACCACGAAAAACTTCACTTCACTTCAATTCATCAAAATCACAAATAACTTCAATTCACTTCAAAAAAATTGAGTTAAAATGCTATGGTAGTGTGTGCTTGTCAGTGTGATGAGGTAATAACTCAGTTTATATGCGATTTTTGATATGTCGAACGGAATAAAAAGTACCCTACGTCCTATTCCGGGCTCTAAGCTACCTTCCTACCAATTTTCAGCCAAATCTATTCAGCCGTTCTTAAGTTATAAGTGGTGTAACTAACACAACTTGCTTTTATATATATAGATTGAAGTCAACTACCGTAATGAATGAAAAGGAGTTCCCTACAAAAAATGCCAAATATGGGAAACCCAAAATTATTGTTCACAGCTAGATGGCGTAAAATGCTTTTGGAAATTTAGTATCAAGTGATGTACAACTCTGAGGAGCTGAACTTTAAGAATGGGAGGACTTTTTATCAGAGAACTTGTGTCTCAACCAAAACACTAGTTCCGGATAATATTGTAATACTTACGGAACTTTTATAAGGTACGATTTGGAAAATGGGAACAGAAGCACGCCGGCAGATGTCCCTTTCGTAACAGTTTAAAATGCAAAAATAAGATTACAAAACTGTGCAAAATCTATATATAAGTTAGTAGTAAGCGTTTTAGAACAATATCTTTAAAATAATAATAACTAGGTTTTTGGTATATTTTGAAAGAAAAGTTAATAATGTTTTCGAAAAAACATTATAATATTGCATATTATTACATATTTTAAGCATTAGGTATGACGTACTAAAAGATGTTTCATATTTTTAAACAATTCAGATTTTGTTCTCTTCAACTGGTATTTGCTTCCTTCAGTGCCATCTATGGAAATTAATCTGCTGAACGAGAAAAGTAATATATTCCAGTGCTGCAGCCCTGGAATAAGTCGATTAGATCAAGTTCCACTGTTCAGTTTAGAATCGGAGTGACAGATATACAGGCAGGCTCCGGTTTTCACTTTCACAAGATTCTCTCGTTTTCGTTTTCGAAAACGAGAATTGGTGCTCCCGTTTTCACTTTCACAAGACTTTTTCGTTTTCAAAAACGGGCAAGTTTTTTTTGTCGAAATGAAAAGTAAATGCCTTTTTCTACATTAAATCGGTTCTTAATTGCAAAAGGAAAAAAATTATTGACTCCTTGGTCTATTGGTGTTCATTTCACATCATCAGTAGGTCAATCTAATTCGTATTTATATTTTAAATAATTATTTTCTGACATAAAATATTTGCCGTCGGCAACAACAAATTTCGTTTTGCTAATGGGCCGATAAATCCATTACCAAAAGTTATCGTCAATGCTGCCGTACTTGTAGTGGAACAAAAAAAACACTTAAAAATACTTATAAAATGAAAACGAAGAAAAAAATATTTGTGAAGAAAAGTTAAATAAGCTTTTTATAAATAAATATGATTAATTTAGTTTCTTAAATGGCAAAAGTGCAGTAAAAAAATGGTTGAGAATAGTGGAATGAAAGCTGCAAAAAAGGTGGCAGCCCCTTATTGTGGGAAACAGCTGATTTCTGATGGAGGCTTATTTGAACTTTTAAAAATGTAATTAAGACAACTTAATTTACCGATCGTCAGACATATTAAAAACACATGTGCAGCATCTAAAATGTCTCGATTTTCTTAAATCAATCAATTTCTGCTTTCTTTTGGCTTCAAAACAGGCAATTGAAAATTTTTCGCGTTGTTTACTTTTGACCAAAATAACAAGTCAGCTGTTTGAACAGTGGAGTGCATTCCGATAATGAAACGATGACAAAAAGTTTGTGAAAACCGGAGCACCTAAAACGAAAACGTACGTTTTCGCCCAAAAACGAAAACGAGAAAAAAAAAGTGAAAACCGGAGCCTGCCTGATAGTGACGGATATGCCAACTTGAAAAAATTATGTAAACTTTTGTACCGATACTTTGTCAGATTTGTAAGCTATCTTGTCATTATTGAGGAATTATTTTAATATTGTTTTTAGACATTGAACACAAAACCAATTACCAAATATCATTTCGCCTTAAAGTAAGCAATATATATACTATAGTTACAATATATATACTAAATAATTAAATTTTATAAAAATCGACTATATCATATAGCTGTCATATAAAAAATCGTCGAAAATATGGAAACCTAATAGAAAAATCGACATAGCTTCGATGTTGTTTAGCCTTTATGCATTTTGTTCGACATATTGGGTGACTGCAAGGGTATATAAGCTTCGGCTTGCCGAAGCTAGTTTCCTTTCTTGTTTAAATAAAATTTTTTAAGAAAACGATTAAAGATAAATAGCTGAAATTTTTTACTGTATTTGAAAGCACATTAATTTTGCGAAATTGAAAAAATCCAAAAAGGGGCGGGAGGGGGCGTTCCTCAGTGGTGGCATGTCAGCGAAATTTTTGGATAATCCTAGTTCATTAGTTAAAGGAAACAATTAGGAATATTTAAAAAAAAATCTTGTAATTTTTCCAATTTTGATCTGAAAATAAAAAATCGATTTTCCTCCACAAGGTGAGCAATTGCCTTGATATCTCGATTTTTCGAAAACGTTAAATTATATAATTAAAAAATTTGTTTTCAATTTCCAGCGGTTGTTTTTTGTTGTATATTTTTTAGAAGTAAAATAAAAATGATAGGACCTCGTCAGATTCGGAAAAAGACCAATTAGCTAAAAGGCTAAGATTAGCAGAAGAAAGTCCGATAGAAGAAAATATTGAAGTAACCGCTCAGGTTAATGATCATTTTTTTCAGGAAGATGTAGAGGTAGATAGTTTAAATGAAGAATCAAGTCAGAAAGCAAGCATGGAAGTAGAGCAGAATCAGCAGGATCTTAATTATAAGCTTAGGAAGTGATTTGTAAAACACAAGACCAAGCGTAGCTGTGTTATCGAATTAATTCAAATTTTAAATGAAGAAAATTTAAACATTACGCCTTTTTATAAATTTAATTGCAATGAAAAGCCAAATATTATGCAAGTTGGAGGTGGTTCCTATTTGGCCTTTCAAAACAATTAAATAAACTTTATGTAGTTCCGGAACTACCAAATGTTTTAAGTATTGACGTTAATGTTGAAGGCCTTCCATTGTTTAAAAGCTCGCGTTCACAGTTGTGGCCCATTCTTTTTAGAATAAACAATATTAGTAAATGTCCGGTTTTTCCCGTAGGAGTTTTTTTGGGTCAAAAAAAGCCATCCAATTCAGATGAGTATTTGTCCAGATTCACTAGGGAGTTGTCCGATTTGATGAAAAATGATCTAACCACTTAGAGCTCTTGTGTGCGACACTCCTGCAAAGGACATTTGTTACAGGCACACCCGGACAAGCATCCAGTTATGGCTGTATCAAATGCACTCAGGTAGGACGCAAAATAGATGGAACTCTAACATACAACACTTCTTGTGCTGATTTAATTACAGATGTTGACTTTGCAAGTAGGAAATATCCAAATCATCACCAGAAAGATTACTTAGGCTCTCAGTCCGCTTTCGAAGAACTTGGCATCGGTATGGTTACCCAAGTTCCCTTGGATTGCATGCACCTCATTGAGTTGGGTGTAATGCGTAAATTTTTTAAATCAATTTATTATAATAAAGTAATAAAAAAAATTTCTAAAGAAAATAAAATGAAGATGTCTGAGACATTAACGTCAATGCGGGACATACCTAGGGAATTCTCACGAAAGCCTAGAACATTGTTGGAACTTCCCAATTGGAAAAGCACTGAATTTCGCCAATTTTTATTATATACTGGAATTGTAGTTTTTAAAGATACAATCCATGAAGAGCAGTACTATATTTTTTTGCTATTGCATTGCGCATATAGACTGCTCTGCTCGCAAAAACAGCGGGAAAATAATGTTGAGGTTGCTCAACAAATGTTAAATTTATTTGTTGAAAATTTTCCCATTGTCTTCGGCGAAAACAGTGTTTCTTACTGTAAATAGTGTAAATATTGTATAAGTTAGATAAGGTAACACTAAGACATGAATGTAAAATATCTATAAGAATGTTGAACGACTGAGTATGATGGAGGAGTGTGCGATCATTAACCATAGAGGACTTACGATTGAGCGCCAAGCAGAGGAAACGTAAAAATAATAAAAAGACCGAAAAATACAAAGTTTACATATGAGGTGTGGGGTAAAAGGCCCGAATAAAATATAACTCAGTGGTTATGAGATACAGTGACCTAATAAAAAAGACGATACCTGAGCTGAAAGCTTTTCTGGAGCGAGAAAACGTGTTTTTCCATGAAGACGCCACCATCCATCAACTGCGCATAGCGGCGAAAACCATTATGGACAACCTGGAGAAGCCGAACCTGGAGAAGCACAACCTGGAGCATTTGGAGATGGAGAAGTTAAACCTAGAGGAGCTGAACTTGAAGGAATCCTCGTCTGGAGCTGCAGAAGTTTCGAGAGCGGACAGGGACGCTTGTGTTAGTGGCAAATCGGAACGTGAGCAGAAAAGGGACGGGGAAGAAGTTCTGGAAATTTCTAATATGGCGGCTGCAGACGTGCAGTGCTGCGATTGTTATGAAATTCTCGAAGTTTCGAATATGGCGGCGGTGGACGTGCAGTGTCGTGAACGAGTGTCGGCGAACGTCGAGGCAGAGCTACAATACCTATAGCAAATCGAGAAGTTGTGAAACCGTAGAGACCACCTTGTAGAGAACCGTAGAGACAAACAGACAAACTTCTTGAGAACTGTAGAGGTGTTTTAGAACCTGCTAGACTTAAACCTTGGATAAGTAATGTTAATGAAACTGTTGCCCTTTGTTTGTAAAGATCGTGGTCGATCTGTAGTCAGATCGGCCGAATGTAAATAGTGTAAATATTGTATAAGTTAGATAAGGTAACACTAAGACATGAATGTAAAATATCGATAAGAATGTTGATCGACTGAGTATGATGGAGGAGTGTGCGATCATTAACCATAGAGGACTTACGATTGAGCGCCAAGCGGAAGAGACGTAAAAATAATAAAAAGACCGAAAAATACAAAGTTTACATTACAGTATTCATGGCCTACTCCATGTGAGAGAGACTGTAAATCAAATCGGAAATCCGATTGCAGGTTCCTCTTACGCGTTTGTGTGTCCGAAAGCCAACAAATATTTTAGAACAAATTTATAGAAGAACTGAAGAGGAAACGTATGTAGCCCCAGAAAGGGAAGATATTAAGTTAGAAGGCAGGTTTCTTAAAATTAAAGACTGTAGACTTAGCGATAGGACACCAGACAATTTTTGTTTTGTTGGGGATGAGATCCCAATACAAATAGAGTCTTTTAAGGAGAATGAAGGAGAAATTTTTATAATAGGTAGGGAATTAAATGACAAAACAAACTTTTTTGATGAGCCCTTAAGGTCGTCAAGCCTAGGTATTTATTTAGTAAATTCCATAACGCCTATGAGCGTTAAAAAATTTTCAGTAAAGGAATTTAGGGGAAAGGCTGTAGTTATGCCTTTCAAACAGGAAACAGTTTTAGTTCCCTGCTTGCACTTTTCAAAGGGATTTTTAGGATTTTGGAGATGTTTAGTCCGTAGGCGTAATTTAATTACAAATCGGGCATATTTAAAGCGACCGCGCTTTAAATATCTTTTGAAGATTCACCTGCCATGGTTCAAAACCAAAAAACAAAAATTTTGAAATAATGAAACTTATTTAATGAAATAAAACAATGATTTTAATTATGTACTTTTTTATTTACTTAGAATGTCAGAGCCCAAAATTCGCCGCATTGACTTTTCCGAGTCGGGTGAGTATAAATTCCGTTATACAAAACTGAAATTAAAATATTATTTTACTATTCACAGATCAGCCATCCGTATCTCGTAAGTTTGTTTTTTTTTTATAGTTATTTTTGATTACTTATTTCATTTTTTTACAGATTCGGCAGAGGAAAGAATTATTTCCATTCTTACGGAGCAGAATGCGGCTCTACAGCGCAAAGTGGATTTATTAGGGGAGCAGCTGGCGGAGACCACCGCACTTCTGAAAATAAAACTGAAGAGGGAAGGGAAGGCGGAGCTTGGAGGGGTACCCTTCCCCCTGAAGTCGGAGTACGACATAGAGCTCTTCGAGAGCTCTATGACAACAGAGCTGCGGGAGTTTTACGTAAGTTTTTTTATACTGTAATAGTCCAGATTTTAAGTTTTTATTATTACAGAAAACAAAAATAACAAACAGCTTAAAAAAATATACATTCGCCAAGACTCTAAGACCCTTTTGGACGATGACCTACTCCCAAAGTACAACCTAGACGGGACGAGCGGCAAAAAAAGACGGTATTTTGAAAAGTAAACAAATGAATAATATTTTTCATTTATTTTAATATATTATTCGAAACAGCAAATTTAATAAATATCTATTTATATTTTCAGAGGTCTCAGAAACGGCATTTCCGCTGGAAGAACCAGAGAAAAACATTAGGAAGGCAATACACAACGCCAAAAATGGCATTTTTAAGAAAAAAAATAGGATAATAATAAAAAATAAATAATAATAATAATTATAATAATAAAAATAGTACGACAGCACCGCTGTCGTCGGTGCGGCTTCGCACATTTATCGACGACAAAGCAATTTTGGAACTGCAGGGATATTAATCGTCTTCGTGAATTGAACATGTGTGTGTAAATGCGAAGACCGTTTGCGTTGAGTTTTTCGGTCAATCGGTCTTTTGCTGACTCTCATTGCGCGAGCGTTTCTCGATCAGCTCCTTACGCACTGCTTATTGAAAGACCGAAATACAAAGAGCTCAACGAAAAGCGCTCAACAGAAAACATAAATGATCACAGCAAGAGTCTCTTGCTCAGAGCGAGAGCGAGAGAGTATGAACTTTTTGGTTGTGCTCGCACCGAGAGCACAAGATGAAAAACGGTCGACTGTTATTTGCGAGCTCTGGTTATCAGCCATTTGGTAGCGGCGGCCATCTTAGATTTCAATTTTCCATAGTAAATTGTATTCTACTTGTTGAGAGTTTGTAGAAAGCTACACTTGCATTATGAATCCACTGCAAAAAACCATTGTAAAGTTTCAAGAAGAGCAGTTGCACTACGGCAATTTCTATGCTTCATGGCTCACATGTAAATTGACTACAAACCAAATTTTACAATCACGGTCAGTTGGCGAAGATTCGATTAGTTTTGAAATTGGCCAAACTCTCATTAAAAGCATAGAAACGCGAACGGAAAAACTTGTATCGAATGTGGGTTTTGATGCATGCTTATATCTAGACCCGAGTTTTTAACAAATTCTCTCCTCGACTCAGAAGAAAAATGCTATACAATTTTTAAAAGTTTTGTTGGAAAAAATTAAAGCAATTAACCCAAAACTTAATACCTCAACGACTTCAGCTAATTCTAAGAGTATTGAAGAAGGGTTGGAAAATAATGAGTTCGACTTGTTAGACAGCTATTTGGGAGCTACGGTATCGCCATCAGATGAATGCATGGATGTTTTTACAAAAGTCGAAACACTAAAACTCCCTTATATAAAAGCAAATGTTAATGTGTTGAACTTTTGGAGAGAAAGAAAGGCGATTGATCCTGAACTAAATGCACTAAGCAAAGTACGCTTTGCCATTCCGCCAACACAAGTAAGAATTATTGTTTATGCTGCAAGAAATATGCTAATAACTTTTAATTTTATTTAGGTCACAATAGAACGCGCATTTTCATCATTAAAACTTATATTGGCCGACAATCGGAATAGGTTAAACCATAAACATTACAAAATATTTTACTGGTCAAACTAAACTCATCGCATTTGGATAGTGCCATTGACAATTTCCCTTTATTTGAAGAGCAAGAAAATAATAATTGAAATTATTGTTATTGTATTGAAATTTAATTTTTTATTTTTGTAATGTGAAAAAAAAATATATTCTTATGATTTGAAATTAACGTCTTTTAATGCAGTATCTGGTATGCGGCAGTAACATTGATATTCGGCGAAATGAGAGCAATTACAAAAATGCTACAAGAGCGACTACGCAGTTGTCAGCTCTAAGAAATACCCAGCACCATCGATAGTGTCAAAAAACTATCGATGGTGGCTCAGAAAGGCAAAAATTCGATACCTCGATAGTGCCATCGATTGTTTCCCAGCTCTACTGTCCGCCAAAGTGCTCATAAACAAAAACACAGTGAAGGCCACGGTGGACACTGGCGCCACGGCAAGCTTTATAAGCGAAGAGTTGGCGGACAGGCTGCAGGCCGCCGGTAAGGTCGTGCCTACGAGAAGGCAGGTGCGCATGGCAGACGGAAGATGCGGGAGCATCCATCCAGCCCTAGTGCTGGGGTGGGATTTCCTCACGAAAATGGGAGCGGAGGTAAAGTGCGCAGAACTCGAGGAGGCGATATCACAAAATCACGATGAAGGATGACCAGCCAGTGAAGCAGCGGTACTACCCAAAAAAACCCAAAAATGCAGGGGGAAATAAACGAAAAGGTAGACGAGCTGCTGGAAAAAGGATGCATCGAGCCGTCAAGAAGCCCGTACAGCTCTCCAATCGTCATGGTGAAAAAGAAGACGGGAAAATGGAGGCTGTGCGTAGATTTCCGACAAATCAACGCAAAGTCGGTAAAGGATGCGTACCCAATGCCTATGATCAACTACACCCTAGATCAATTAAGGGAGGCACGATATATCAGCAGCCTGGACTTAAAGGATGGATACTGGCAAATACCGCTGGAGGAGAAAAGCAGACAGTATACCGCTTTCACCGTCCCAGGAATGGGATTGTTCCAATGGAAAGTGATGCCATTCGGACTGCACTCAGCGTCGGCAACGTTCCAAAGGGCGCTCGATCAGGTCATAGGGCCTGAGATGATGCCGCACGTCTTTGCGTACCAGGACGATATTATCGTCATCGGACGGACGCTGGAGGAGCACAAAAGATACCTAAGGGAAGTGTTCCGAAGACTGCGGGCAGCAAACCTGAAGGTGAACGTTGACAAGTGCAAGTTCTTCAGGAAAGAGCTGCAGTACCTGGGGCATCGCATCACGGACCAATGAATTGGAACTGATCCGGAAAAGGTTGTAGCGGCGCCTGAAGAACCCCTGCAGTACTGGAGGTGGCGATTGGCCTTGCGTAGTTGCTTACTTCGTCGGTTACCATATGGGTACTTACTATACTGACCCTACGGCAAACGAGCTGCGAACCAGCTACTAGCTGGATTCTACATGGGTACTTACTTTGGTGACCCTAGGGTTATCGAACGCCGAACCACCTAATAGAAATATGTATGGACACGAAAGCATAAACGAAAATTCATAATAAAAAAATAAGCATCGCCTTTGTTTTTGATATTTTGAGCAAAAGGGCAAAGTAAAATTTGAAAGCATAACTTCGATTACAGTTAGTTCTATTTATGTTGCGCCGTTCTTTCGCTGAAACTCATTTGTGTTGTTATTCTAAGCATTGCAGTTGAGTGAAGAGAAGCGGAGCAAACGCAAATTAATTGGTAAGTAAAACTAGTTATATTTAATACGTATGTGCGTATGTATGGTATGTATTAATTGAATTTGTCGGATCAAATGAAACGGGGCCTACTTTGTTCCCCTGGTCCGGACAAGTGAAGCGGGGCCTTCTTTAATGTGAAGCAGGGACAATTAAAAAGGAAGTTAGAAATTGAGTGAAAGCATGGCAGAGCAGGATAGATTTAGACTGCTGCCAAGTGAGGTCTGTTCGTTAAGCGCTGACATACATGTTAGAAAGAGATGGCTAACAATGTATAAGAATTGAGTAGAAAGTATAAATTTGGAAAGTAGACTCTTGGGAGTCAGTTCAGAAAGCGCCTGTCAATCGAACGGAACTTGCTGCTGAGAATTAATAATAAAAGTACGACAACAAATTTAATTTCGAAAATGTATAGTGAAAGACATTTAAGGAGGCTTAAGCAGCAGCAAAAACAGAAATATAGGAACAAATTAAATTCTACACTGGAAAAAGCAGATGCAGTGAACATTGATAATTGTGACATTATGGTACAAAATGTACCTAGTGAAAAAATTGACAGTGATGTGGATATTGTTGACGAGCAAATAAATACAAATAATATTGACTGTGACTTAAATACCAAAAGGGATAAAGACAATACTACTTTAAACGAGGATTTGAAAATGTGGTTTCTAAAGCATAGGCCCACCCGTGACAGTGCAATTGACTTAGTTCATATACTGAAAAAAAATAATTTACATGTCGACCCATTTTATAAATACAGTGCCCCAAAAAAAGCAGAAATAACACAAATTGATGGTGGTCGTTACTTACACAAATGAAGTTTCTTAACACCGGTAAGTTAAAAAAAATTTTTTTAAAGATCTTGAATAAATTAAGTATTAAAAACTTACATTTTTAGATAAGAAAGACGACTGCAAATGTGGGGAAACCATCGCGCGCCTTGAGAAGATGATAGTCGATCTAACTGAACTAGTTAGCACCTCACGAGGTAAGAGTCTAATTTATTCTTTAATTTGAGCTTTGAATAAAATGTTTCTTTCTTTTTTATTTGCAGCCGAAACAAAAGTGGCTCTCGAAAAAGTTGCCGATGAAGTTCATGCTTTAAGAGGTATAAGATCGTGTCAATAATCCCTTAATAAAATAAGCATTAATATATGCAATATTTATATTTAGCTGACCAAAAAGTGACGCAGGACAAAATCGAGGTACTAGTAGAAGCTTCCTCAGAGCAAACAGCCACTGTCAAGGGGATGACGAAGCAACAAGGAGAAAGGCAGAAGGTGGCTAGCAAGTTTCCTGTTCAGACAGTAGGCGATCTAATTGATCTGAACTCTATAATAAACATCGCAAACCGAGAGCTCTATGTATGTATAAATACCGACAAAAATTTTCTTTTAACTGCAATTCGTATTTATTTCGTTTACAGATTGATACAATTAAAACATAATTGTCAATGACGGAATCTTAAAAAATCTAAAAAATCTTATGGCTAATGAGGTGGTTTTGGCTTATAATATAGATGGCGTTCAGGGGAAAGCGGCCTTAAAAAAGGAAATAAATTTCTATGGTGTGATGATTGGTAGGTATTTATAATCAGGCCTGTTAAATTTGAATTAAGATTATTAATCATTAAATTTTTCTTATTCCCAGATTCTATTAATGCAGTTGGAGGTACTGGGTCAGCTGAGGACCAGCTGCGAAAGGACTTGCAGCTCCAAAAAAGAGGCACTTCAAAAACTCTAGCGTTAGTAAAAAAAATGAAGAAAATGTAGTTATTTAAAAATAAAAAATAA